TTTTATTAGCATCTTCTGAAACTGATCTCCAGTGCTCCTTAGAAAGGTTCGCAGCCGAGAGCGACGTGACGGCATTGGTGTGAACGCATCTAAAACGAAAAGCCTACTGCTTTCTCGTTCTCCTGTCCGTTGTTCTCTTCAGATTAACGGAGAAGCAGTGTAGCAGGTGGAGAAGTTCAAGTATCTCAGGGTCGTTTTTGCTGATGATGAAAGATTGGAGAAAAAGATTGGCTGGTGGAATGGAATAACCAGTGGTGTTCTGCGCGAACTATTCCGAACGGCTGTAAGTAAAGCACAGCTGAGTCTGAAGTTCTCAGTGTTCAAGTCGATCTTCATCCTGATACTCACCTACGGTCAAGAGTCATGGACCGTAACTAAAAAACTTTGATACGGTGTAGAAGCAGCTGAAGTAAACGTGCTGGCACGAATCGCTGTGATTACATGCCTCCACATCGTCCGGAGTACAGACGCTGAAGGCCTATGTGTACAGACGGTGTTTCGCCAAAATGAGAAGAGTTATACACTGGTTTAACTAACAGCTGAAGATTTACGTTACCAATAGCGGCAACGTTACCAAGACTGAATAGATCAAACTTCAATTCAACCTTTCTAAACAATAGCAAAGCATTATTAACAGAATTTTAATCGGCAGTTGTGTGCCATGTGCCATTCAGTCGATAATGAATATTTTTCGTAACAGACTGTTGCCTGACCCGAACCTTGACTTATATCAAAGAATGAAGAAAATTCATTGCGCATTTGACACTATCGTGCCAAAACATGAAGCTCCTCTTTCATTAACAGTCATTATCTAGTGTTGTTCTGGTCAATTACCGAAACACTCATTTCGCATAATCATCGGTTCGGTTCTAAAAACACGACAGTAAGAGATGCTTTCGTGAGTGAGCCGTTTCTACATTAAATCGAAACTTCAGAATTGTTACCTTGTACATATGACTGAAAAGAGAGACTTGCAAAGCGAACACCTTCCAAAGCAACAGAACAGACGGCCAAGAGAAAAATCAATTGTCATATAGCTCAGGTTTACTGAACATCCAGCACTTGTCAGGTTTTCATGCAAGATTAATTTGTCGAAGATGAAGAATCAATATGACCCCAATAAAAACAATTTAAATTGAGGAAAACCGATCTCACAAAGACTGACTAAATGTGGGCTGTCCTGCACTCCCAATTTCTTTAAAGGATGTAGTTTGCAAATGACCTGCATAAGCTTACGATCCATGTATAAACAGTGAGAGCAAAACGAGCTTTAATTTTAATTAAGTATGCGCTAAGGAAGCGTATTACGATTCAAATGACGTACAGTTCAGTTTGTCTTAGCATAAATTAAAATTAAAAAAATAAGAGAATGAAGGATATTCAGGAACCCGCAGCATACAAAGTCGCAAAAAGGACCAATTTTCTGTTACATCTGTCATCCATTTTATCCAATACGTAGGAAAGGGAAAGGAAAAGTTTTAATCGCTGCAATGTCGCTCTTCCTTCGAATTTTACGTTGGGACCATTTCAGACGCCCTTCTGTTCATAAAACAAAAGGTAGTGTGCTGATCTCCATTTCCATGCCGTCAGCAAGAGTGCCTTGCTTTAAAGACAGAGACGACAGAAGCAATGAGGCAAACATGGTGTTTAGCTCCTGTTCCCTTCCCAGAGAATGGTGTTCATTTATCAACGTTCGAAGGAAGAAAGACGAATGATCTGACCCAAGACCTGTCGGTTCTGAGCCCGATGCAATACTGACTGAGAAACCCGGAATATGGTGGAACGACATGACTTTATTCACAAATGCCAAAGTATTCTGTTGGTGCGTAATGGGTGTGGCAAGCCAGGCGAATCACAT